CAAGTATCTACCGTTCAAAAGTTATGGCCAAAGTAAAAATTTGGCATTTTTGTGTAAAATGGGACAAACTCCAAGGTAAAGGTCAAAAGGTCAAATTTGGTGGTACCCAAAGTAAGGTCTTGTCACAAGGAATACACATATTGAATATGAAAGCCATAGCTCCAATAAATGAAAAGTTATGGTCAAAGTTAAGGTTTTTACGGACAAACAAACCGCCAGATAGACAGACGGACTACATATTTGACGGACACGATAAAACTATATACGTACAACCGAATCTTCGATTACGGGGACATAAAAAGAAATGGTCTTCAATTAACTTTTCATATTATGATACATTATAAAGAAAACGTTACAACAATGAAAATGTTTGTTCTGATTTTCATATTAAATTCTCTAAAAAATATACTCAGAACTAAGTAAAAGGGTGGAGTAAACCAAGAATTAAGGTAGAACCTATGTCGGAAAAGTCTTTGTCACAAGATTTTCAAACCTTTCAAAATGATAAATTAGTACTTGCTTATCAATCAGTTAAGATATCATGATATGTTTCCTTGTTTTTTAATCTAGAACAGGCTGTGAAACTTGGTATGGTATTTACATACTGCGACTTCACATTTTCATATATTTTTTAGGGGAACTTGTCATAAAGGGAATATGAAAAATCACAAAAATACTTCTTCAAACATCGTCGTATATAAACTTTATTAACTGAATAATATTAAACAATATTTCTCTCAAGAATAATTTCTTTTTTATTCAATTAGCATAAAAGATAAGTCCACCATTAAAAAAATAGTCAAATGAACTCTATTGTTTTTAGTCAATTATGCACCCTACATTTGTAAATATTTTTAGAAGTCTTTGTCACAATGTTTTCAATCTTTAATATGATGAAGAACACAGCCAAATGATTACAAAAAGTGATTAAAATATATACCTTTCCCCTCTAACTAATGAATGATAGGCTATTTACCTATACTCATATTCTTGACCTTTTTGCACTTACACGGGATTTAATAATTAAATGACTGTTTGGGGTTACTTTCAGATTAAATATTTATCAGAAATTGTACCTTTACTTTAAAAAGATCATATTTGATAGAAAAATTGTAATCAAACACCAAGAATATGAATAGGTAACAAATAATTGTTAAAAGGAATGCACATCATTTCAATCAAAAAAATTTACACACGATCAAACGATCTACAACACGTACCTCTTTGATTTAGACACATTTCATCAAGATATTACACTATATAGCTGACAACTAAAGATTTCTTACGATTTTAGCATTCCTTCAAAATGGTTACATACCATTCAAATCATTACGAAAGTTGTATGTACATTGTAATTTCATTACACTAGATAGTCTTGGGTTTGTCAACTTCAGGTCTAGATCTAGTAAATAAAAGGTGCCTACATATTTTCTCTTATTTAGAAATATATTGCCATTAAGCATTATAAACCAAAAAATATATGAACTGAATTAAGATTATGTTGACATGATTGTATTCTGTGAATTTCAAAATGCAGTATTTTCTACCTTTTCTATTGAAGCTGTCAAGTACGGGAAAAAGTGGCATTGAATTAATTATGACGTCTTTTAAAATGGGTTATCACAGGTTAAACACATTTATCAGTTATGATGTCATACGAAGTAGGTTCTACGTTAAAAGAAATGTAATGAATACTGTGTGCTAAATCAAAAGTTTGTGTCTACATGTATAGTTTTTGCATTAGAATGACTGTGTATTTTACACTAGCCCATAGCTTTACAGAGCATATTTTTAGGTCTTATACTTACCCCACCCCCTTTCTTATTTATGGGAAAGTCGATATTGAACAAAAGCAACAAAAAAAAAAACAACAAAAAACAAAACAAAAAACACCCTACCTTTATTTTTCTATAAGAAGGAATTAAAAATAAGCTTAAAATAATCTACTATTCTACTAATTTTTAACTGTTACTTTGCCACAATACTTTCAAGTATATCTCCACCAACATTTAAAGTATACTTTAATCATGGCGAAGTAAATTATGATATGATAGTACTTGTGTGAAGGCTTAACTTCATTTCAATATTTTATCTAGAACCTCTTTCAGAATTATTGAAAGGTATAGAGATTTATTTATATTTTTGCTTTTCATTTATTATTATTTTTTGGTTTTGATTTAACGTTATGATCTTTTTTTTTTGGGGGGGGGTAAAAATTTCCTCCTCTTTCATTGTCAAATAGGATTTGCGAAACTTAAACAAGCTAAAAGTTGAAATGACGGAAACTTTAATTTTTCCTATTAAAGAGTATTTAAACCTGATTTTTGCATGGTTTAATTTCTAAAAGCAAGTGGAATATCATTCTTTAAGCAAACATTATAAGGAGGAATATTAAAAAAAAATATATTTTTTTATTTTTTTTTTTTTTAATATTTTATTTATTTTCAATTCGTCATACAAACAAACAGTGAAATATATATAACAGACAAATAACATTACAAACAATATGACAATATTACCTTCAGACAATTTTATGCAAAATTTTTAAAAAGTTTGTAATCAAGTGATTTCAAATTTTTCAAAATGGAAGCATAGAAAAAAAATTGAAGATTTTACGTAATTGAAGATGTTATAACTAGTTTCATCTAAGGAATTTATTCGACAGTACATCTTATATTTGTAAATTCTACAGGAAACATAAGAGATGAGTGTGTTGAGTGATACAATTTTTCTATTGCGCTCAGAGCTAAATCCAATTATTACTTGTTTCCATTTGATATCTATTTTCAGGTACAAACTTAATCTGTTCCAAATTACAGCAACATTTCTACATTCAAAAATGAGATTTTTTGAAGATTCATTCACTTGGCATAATTTGCAATGTTTATTCGTTTCTTTTTTCCATTTACTGAGATAGAAGTTATTGCAAAGAATATTGTTTAAAAGTTTATAGTTGAATTCTGTAAGTTGTTAATCGGGTATGTCATATAATTTACATTGATATATATTTTTCCATTCTGAGGATTCAACACTGAATTCTTTGCATAAAACTATTTGATAACATGGTTTACAAAATTTTCTGTGTACAAGATTGTCATAGAAAAAGTTACATCTTTGATCTATGATATTAACATATCCTGTGTAGAAAAGAAAATAATTTTTCTATCTTATGTTAACAAATTTACAATTTGAAAAATCATACTTTAGTAGCAAAGGTTTGAAAACAGAAGAAAGAATTTAAATTCACACAACCAGTTTGACTTGTTTTTTATACAATTAGAAAAATCTAACAACGATTTAAAATTACCATCATCGTCAAATAAGTCTTTAAAATGCAAAATCCCACTGGCTATCCAGTTTTTTTTAAAAAAAAATAATGTATTTCCCCTATAAACAAAGTTACAATTGTTCCATATCGGCTGTCGAAAAACATTATTGGAAGACATTTTGTTCAGAAAACAGGGCTTACATTCATTAAAGCAACATAACATTTGTTGATAAAATATAGGTAGTTTCTCTAATTTTTCCATATTTTCTATTTTTCTATCAGAAAAATCTAACACATAGAAAACATCAAAATTTGATTTTTTACAATAGCCATAAAAAATGTTGTACAAAATACCTTTGCTTTTTAACAATCTTGGTACCCAAGCTGCTTTTAAAGCTTTTAATTTACATTCAATATCAACGATTGAGAGGCCACCTTTTGAAATTCTACCTATAAGCGTGTTTCTTTTAATTCGTTAATTTTTATCCCAAATGAAGTTATAAATTCGACGTTGTATTTTTTAATGTAAGCATTATCAGGAAGACTAAGTATTGAGGCAACGTATGTAAGTTTAGATATAGCAAGTGTCTTAACTATACATGATTTACCAAATAACGTTAGTTTTCTTCTTTTCCAAGATTCAAAAAGTTTTTCAATATCGTGATAAATTTTCATCCAGTTTTTAGTGTAACATTCTTCCTTGTCATGCCCTAAGAATATTCCCAAACATCTTACTGCTTTATTCGTAATTTTTATAAGGTAGAGTAGTTCATCATATAATTTTTTTTAATTCCCCTAGTAAAATGCATTCTGTCTTATGCATGTTTACTACTGATCCCGCATGTTCACAGAATTCTTGTAATTTATCCAGAGTTCGTTTCATTGATCTTTCGTCTTTTAAAGCTACAGTCAAATCGTCCGCATGTTGGATGTTTTTAATTTCATGATTATTAATTGTAATGCCTTTTATATCAGTATCACATTTTATTTTAATAGCCAAAATTTCTGCTACGAATAGGTACAAGAGAGCGGAAATAGGACAGCCTTGCCTAATTCTTCGTGTCATTTCGCTGGTTTTAGAAAGCTAGCCGTTGTTTTTCTTTTTAAACATTGGATTTGTATATAAAAATTTTGCCCACTTTATAAAACTATTGCCAATATTAAATTTTTGTAAGACTTGGAAAAGAAAATTCCATTCAACCGAGTCAAAGGCTTTTTCAAAGTCTAAGAAAAGTAAAATTCCATCTGAATTTTCTCTTTCACAGTATTCAAAAACGTTTATTTTATTTACTTGACAATTAAAGAATCTCTTTTCAAACACAATTTTAGCATTTAAAGACTACGTGAATCTCTTAATTATTTCATGCGACTTTTTTTTTATTTTTCTGCATACAGAAAATGTAAAAATAAGTTTCTCTGTAAAAAAGATATCAAAGAGTGTATATTTTGTATCACTTTAAAGGGGGTCAATTTTCAATGGGGGTCATTATTTTATAGGTCTAACATATAAAATAATGACCCCCTAGGACTCTTTTTCTACAAAAAAAGATTTTTTTCTACGGGTAGGGGTCATTTTTTGTCGTTGAAAAATGACCCCCCGGTCATTATTCGATGGGGGTCATTATTCGTCTTTACACCGGCAGTAAAAAGGTCAGTAATTGTCTCTAAGTTTTACAGTAACGACGGCACATTGTCAGTAATTTTCTAAGTTTGTCGGTAAAAAATGGGAATGTCAGTATGTTTCTGACTTAGTAGTGTTTGTGACTTCATGTCCACAATAATTAACACTGTCTTTGAAAAATTCACATTTTTCAAGGTTCGTTCTCAGTCCAAAATTTTGGAAGCGTTGAAGAACAATATCTAAATTTCTCAAGTGTTCTTTTTCGGTTTTACCTGTGACAATCATGTCGTCCAAGATACAGTAAACTCCTGATATTCCTTGGAGAACCTGGTCCATTGTTCTTTGCCAAATTGAGGGTGCTGATGCTACTCCATACAATAATCTGTTGTAGCGATAAAGTCCTTTGTGGGTGTTGATTGTGAGGTAAGTTTTCGACTTTTCCTCCATTTCTATGTGAAGATAAGCTTGTCTCAAGTCAATTTTTGAGAAATGTTCTCCTTGAGTCAGTGATGCAAAAATATCCTCAATTTTTGGTAAGGGATATTGATCCACATTCATCTTAGGATTGATTGTGACTTTAAAGTCGCCGCATATCCTAACTTTACCATTTTTCTTGGGCACCGCGACAATGGGAGTTGCCCATTCACTTGTGTTCACTTTTTCCAGAACTTCCATATTTTCAAAATTTTCTAGCTCTTGTTCAATTTTGGGTTTCATTGCGAACGGAACTGGTCGTGCTTCGCAGAAGAATGGCTTCGCATCCTCGTTGAAATGGATAAAAGCTTTAATTCCTTCAACTTTACCAATTCCATCTGAAAACACTGAACTATACTTTTGTAACACAGCTTGCATTTGCTTTTATTTTCACTTTTCATTGTAGTGACACTCATAAAACCTTTGACACTTTTCCACTCAATTTTTATTTGCTTTAGCCATGACCTTCAAAATAAGGTTGTTGATCCATGTTTCACCACGTTGACCGTTGTGTTCCGCCTTTACATCTAGAACTCCTACCGGTTTTAATTTTTCTCCTGAGTAAGTACGGAGTTTGACATTGCTCGGCTTCAATGGCTGCTTTCCGAATATATCTCGGAACTTCTCCTCGGATATCACGGATACGGCTGATCCGGTATCTAATTCCATTTGAATATCCTTTCCATTTACTCTGACATTTAAGAGTATCGGACAATCATCAGTTTTGATAACGGAAATTATGCTTAATTTTTCTATCCCGCATGAGGAATCGCTGTCATCACTTTCTGCTTGGTCAACGTTTCATACATATTTCTTATGTTTGAATGTTTTTGGCTTTTGTTTCGTCATACAGGCTCGTTTGATATGACCCTTTTCCCCAACATTTTCGGCAGATGGCTTCCTTAAAGTAACAGTCGGCTGATGCATGGTTTTTACCATTATATCGATTGCATTTGCTAGGCTGTTGTGCCTCAGTCTTTTGTTTATAATTTCGATGATGGTTCAATTTGTTGACACTTACTTGCTTGTCTCTGAGTTCATGTGCATCCTTTGATGCAGTTTCCATGGCCGCTGATATCTCTATGGCTTTCTGTAGTGTGAGTGTTGTTTTGGATAACAATTGTATCTGGATTTGCTCATTATTCAGTCCACATACTATTCTATCGCGGAGGGTGTCATTCAGATTGTCCACGAACTCAAGATGTTCAGCCGTTTTCCGAAGTTTTGCAATGTATTCTTCATGATCATTTACCGATTCGCCGTCCATTTGTTGTCGCCGATTGAATCTGAGCCTCTTTGCAATTACAGATCGTTTTGGAGATAGATGGTCCTTCAACAATTTTACAATGTCTGGAAAGTTTTTATCCGCCGGTTTTTCTGGACTGGTGAGATCACGTAACAATGAATATGTTTTACCTGCGATAAAGCTTAAAAGTGCTGGAACTTTCATATTGTTTTCGACTTTGTTTGCCTTGAAATACTGCTCAAGTCTCTCAATATATGAAGTCCATGTTTCAATACTGTCGTCGAACGGGTCGATTTTCCCTATGTAGCCTGCCATTATGATGTATCAACTGTTAATCACAAAAACTTTGCAGTTTCAAACGAAAATCTCCATGGAATAATCAGTTGTATTTTAAAACATCCTCGTCGCCAATTTGTTGTGTATGAATAAATACAAACATGTCTGTTCACATTGACTACATTTTATTAAGTGATATACATGAACATGCATTAGCTACAAACTCTAGAAATTCTCAGACTATCAAATAACAAGTTCTGCAGAGCCAGTGCTTTCAATATAAACAATTTAAGGTTAACCCATTAGGAACTGTCAGAATCAATTACTGTTCTAAAAATTATTATATTTATGTTAAAGATGCATATGTGAACTTTAGAATATAGAAGTTAAGATCAATGAAGATATCACACTGACTGCAGCAATACAAATACTCACAACCAAGTAAAATTTGTAAACCACATTTGCGGAGCCAAAAGGATAAATCAAAATGTTGATAAGGATAAGGCTAATAGCCGTAACTAGATGGCGCTTAAGTATAAAACCCGGAAAATCCCTTCAAGACCCATGAATTGACACGAAATAGTGATTAATAAAAATACGCAATATTGTACGCATTTAGATCACATAAATTCCGTTATATACATAAATGCACTTAAAAATTTTCACAGGTATATAAATCTGTGTACTAAAGTGATAATCCCACAATTTAGGTAACTGTACAGTGCTCTGGGAGTGTGTATACTTCTTTTTGCTTCGACGAACATACACAGGGGCGTACTGGGGCATATACTGGCGTATACTGTAGCTGCTTGTAGGAAACAGGGGCCTACAGTAGGCATACCAGGGCCTACTATACCGTACCGTACCATACTGTAGATATACCGAAGATAACTGAAAATGCTGTAGAATAGAGAGAAAGACGTAATTTTCATACGAAAAGAAGTTTCAAAAGTCAGTAGTGTTTGTCGATTTACGAATTTCTTTTTGGCAATATGTGAAGTTTAATGAGAGTTTGTTGCTCATTGGCATGTAAAGATATCTACAAAGAAGATTTATGAACCGAAAAAATATGAATGGCACTTCTCGGCCCCCATTCCCACACCCGCATTCATGACATTTGTATACTACATGAATTTTGAGGCTGGATTTAATTTTTCGCTCAATAGAGTATATCAAAAAAGTATTTCATAGCCATTCCGAGAGTTATCGCTTCTGAGAATATCGAATAGAAGATTAAACAATACATGTAACCATTACTAATATGACATATTTGATAATGTTTTTTTTAAAACAGAATCTCCTACATGTATATTAGTTTCAAAATGTTTAATTTTTGAAATACAATGCAAATTAGCTGAAAAGTTTACCAAATGAGCCCCAGTGGATATGAATATATGTCGATGAGTTATTTTCAGAAACGTAGGTCACATGTCATATTATAATGTATGCCAAAAAGTGAAAAAGTGTTGAAATACCTCATAAAATAGGATTTTGTGTCTAAACCATCTGTTTTTTTTCCATGTTAGATTTTTTTTCAAGTATTGAATTTTATTCTTTAGCTCCCCCGTCCCTGATTCTTTTGAAACTTAACGAGGCCAAATCTAATTATTTCTGCCCTAGGAATTTAAATGAATTTTTGATAATATTTTTTTACTGATATATTTATTGTTCAAATAAAATAAAAATAAAATGAAAAAAAATAAAAATGAAATAAAAAAATCAATTGTTGACAATCCAGATTTTTTAGGGGACCATCTCAAATTTTACTATTGGACCGTATGGGAATTCGTTGAAGAAAAAACCCGCCAAATTATCACATGTTTCCCATATTTTTTGCATTTCTGCCCTAGCGATTTCTTTTTCATTCGAGTAGATGAAAGTTATTGTAAAAAGTCACTTAATCGTGAAATTTCAAATAAAGTTCACCATCTAGGTTGGTCTAGGAATTAATTACTAAGTTTATTTTTTTCAAAGTCCAATACCTGTATTATCAATACCTATATTACGGTAAAAATGCATATCAGTGCAGGTGAAATATCGGCGCATATGATTTTTCGGTTAATATAGCAATGTAAAAATTGCTAGTATGTATCTTTGGATGTTCTGTCACCAGATTGTAGTATTATAATTTCCATGGACGTCTTGAACCTACAAGCGAGTCATGCGTCATTCTTCAGCGTCATGCATACCTTTCAAAACCCGAAAATGGTGACGTCGTTAAAGCCATTTCAGCGGGTTTTTCTAATTTTTGTCGTGAAATCACCTTTTTAGACCAGTAAATGCTACAGATAATGTTATTTTTGTACTAAATTCAAAGTATTTGGTAAAGGTGTGCTTTCGCACAAATTATTGCATGAAATTAAAAAGCTGCGCAAAGTCATGCGCACTCGAACTAGACTCGACCTCGTTAAATTACATATTTCTGATTCTATTCCAAAAATGAAGCAATTAATTTGTGTCATAGGAGCGACAAAACATTTTGTCTGTAGTCCAGGCGTCTAAGATTCAAAAAGAATTCTTGACTTTATATGTGATATAGCCAAATGGCCTGACATGATTGACTTCATGACAAATTCCCTGAAATTTTTGGTACAACAAGCTGTCTGTAAGACTTACCTGATTCAGTCTTGGTTTGATATTCACGATGTACAAACCCTTTGAGTATAAACCATAGAACTGTTGCAGTACGTTTGTCAATCACCTGTCCGAAACTTGCCCATTGTGGTATTATCTGCAGTGAGTCATCGGTCTGTTGTTCTAGTTAAATCTCGTCTGTAGTGATGTTTACCTTTAGTGTAACTTTGAGTTGAGGATACTGTTTTTATTTAACATTTGCCTGTTGACAGGTTTCCAAAGCATTTTGCCTCTGATTAGTTAGGATCAGGATCTCCAGGTTCTCGTACCTTAGTTACATTTCCGATGATTAGAACGTAGACTGGTTTCTCCATACACCAAGCTTCAAATGTTTCTGTAATAAAGAGCAAGTCAACAAAGATAGGAGCAACTGGTACTCTTATAGATGAACCATTTGCCAAAATGCATGTTTGAAACTTATCTTGAATCAAATTTGCTTCACCAATCTTACTTCTTCGAACAACTATGCCTTTGAATCTAGTGTCTCTTAATACCGTAACAGGCTTACCTTCAACAAAGCCTGCTTATACTGGCATCTTGTGTGCGGTTGGTAGCACGATGAATTACGTAATTGACAGCCTATACCGGAGCTTTTCAAAGTAAGTTGGTGTTAAGGTAAGTACTCGTCAGCTTTTTGGAAAAGTTCACGCAGATACTCTTATTTCAAAACTATTTAGGAAAATTTAATTTTTATAACATATTAAATTTCAACAATGTTTATATTTTACATTCAGCGATAAACTGCTCAAAAAGCTACAAAGAAGATTTCAACAATGTTAATATTTTAACATTCAACGAAAAAAACTGCTCAAAAAGCTACAAAGAAGCAAGATTTACGAGGGACTATTTTTTGTGGTGGAAGGATATTTAGCAGATAATTCTGCAAATCTGCACATTTATCAAATCTAATACCTTATGTCTTGGAGAATATTTTCCATTATGATATTACCAAGAATAGGTCGCGCAATACTAAATCAAATAATGCATCAAATGTTTCTTTTATTTTGGCCTTTTTCAACTACCTTAACAAATAACTACTCATTCTAACAGAAAATTGTACAAAGGTTTCACCCGCTTCTGGTTTTGCCTATTTGAACTTGTGATTAAAGCCGTCCTCTGTTAGCTCCAAGCGTTTAAGGAGTGCTATTTTCAGCTTGTCATAATCTAAAGCAGGATATGTTGGTAATAATGAATAAATATTGAGAGCCCTTCCTTTAAGGAGTGCACTTAGACTCATAGTCAAAAATGTTGGTCACTTTTGTAACTCTGCATATTGTTCAAATATACGTAAATAGCTGTTCGTTTTATCCTTCCCATCCTCAAAAGCCGGGATTTTGGGACTTTTGAACTTAACACTTACCTCCTCAACCCCTCGTATTTTCAACTGCTCTTTCTCATGAAGCATTTTCATTTTTTGGTGATGAGTCAGTTGTTGAAGCTGCATCTGTTTATCATGCAGCGTGCTAGACCGCTCGGCTATTTAGACAAGTAAAAAACTTGCTTTCGATGGCGATGAAATTCTCGCGCTGACCTACACTACACGGTTATTGAGAATAAAAGGGATATACAGTTATTTGGACATTAATTTTATCAAAGTATTGTAACAAATACACGTTGTAATGAAATAAAGTATTATTAATGAAGCACAATTTACAACAACTCTTTAACTAACACAAATGCCCTATCGCGGCGCAGACCTATATTACAAGGTCATAGAGAATAGAATTGAGATACAGTTATTTGGACATTAGTTAAAAGTAATAATCTGTTTTATTTAACACGAGGAATTTGTACAATTATTACATACAAAACCCTACGATGTAGACGTCTGGAGGAATTAAAAATATATTTACGAAGACAAAATTATCGAATGGATCTAATAAACATTGAAATATAAAAAAGGCACCAGAAATTACAATCGAAGACGTATAGAATCTACGCCATATAGACGACATCAATGATGACGGGAAAAAAGCTTTAATTTATAGTTACCCATAAACCAAGGAACAGAAACATCCTTATTGAGGCCAAAAAGATCATATCCCATTTAAGAACAATCGAAAAAAAAATGAAAAGTTTAGTTCAACCGAATGATATAATAAATAGTCGACAACAAGCACCAAATCTTAAAAAAGAGTTTACCATGGCCCGTTTTACTACACAGGAGAAATGTCTTACCATTAAAAAATATGGAGATCCGAGATGCAGAATGTGTGCATATTGAGAAGAGGGGAATTAAATCTAACATGAATCAGGAATGGAAATTTGAACCAACTCATCAATGAACTGTAAATCGGAAACGTCATAAACTGTGCCATCTGCCCGTCGTTTTAAGAATATTTTATTGGTAAAACGGGAAAATAAAATGCCAGGGTTGGTGTGAACAAACAATAAATTAAAGACCATAGTGTGCGTAATACACCGTGTTGTGAACATTTCGCAAAATGTGGCAAAGGAATACAGTGGAGCCTCATTTATCCGGACGCTTTGGTTCCCAAGCAAATTGTCCGGATAAGTGAAGCGTCCGGATATCTGAATTCTATTGATTTCTCTTCCAAGTATTTGTATTTTAACTCTTATACACTTTTATATAAAGAAATATAAGTACTATCATATAGAAATAATAATTTATTATTTTATAGACTTTATCTTTAGTATACATCAGCACTACTTTTAAACATTTTTATCAAATATAATAGATATTTCTATAGCTAAAAACTAAGCACTATAACATGTACATAAAACTTAAAACTAAAAACTAAGCACTACTACAGTGGACCCTCATTTATCCGGACGCTTTGGTTCCCAGTCAATTTGTCCGGATATGTGAAGCATCCGGATATCTGAAGCACCAGTTAAACAAAACAAAATAACATTTGAAAATTTCGTTCCAATGAAAAATCGTCCGGATACTGAAGCATCCGGATATCTGGCGTCCGGATATCTGAAGGTCCACTGTACATAAAAACACTACACAAGTACAAAATCTGTAACTGGTACATACATGTATGCACTGTTTCTCAACATTCATTCATAAAATGTCCATCAGAAATTAAAAAGCACTATAAACACATCTGTTCACTTTTTACTGCTTGAAGAAGTCGGTCATTTTCTTCTGTGTTGTTTCTCTGGCTTGGCAGTAGGTAATGGCGTCCAGCATTTCCCAAAGATGATCAAGGTAGGCTCTTCTTTTGTCCATGTCAATCGATGTGGCACTTGTTGATGTCTGTTCAAAGAAACTGATGACCATCTTGATTCCCCCTGAAGCTTGAGAAAAGGTCACATCTTTGCGCACTTCTTCTTCTTCATCATCCTTGTCAGCAATCTCAGGGACTTCCTCTCGTGAAACAAGTGTCATGATGTCATCATCAGTTAGGTGTTGTCCAGTTTCTTCCTCAGCATCCACACTAACATACTCCTCAGCTGTCATTGTGCAGGCCTCTGGCAGTTCACGCATCTTCTTCTGAAGCTGTAGCAAGGGGATGTCATCATCGTCGTCCTCATCTGTGCGGTACTGAAGGCGAGAGAGTGGAACATCATCATCTTCTTCTGAATCGTCCTTGGAAGGAAGGATCTGCACATGTCTGTAACAATTCACAATCGTAGAAACTTTAACACTGTCCCATGCTCTTTTCACCATGTGCAGGGCCTCTCGAAGATTCACACTTTGTTCTTCTTTCTTCTCCACACGCTCGATGTAGTGATGTACCAACTGTTTCCTGTAGTGAGCCTTGAATGCTTTGATGATTCCAGCGTCCATGGGTTGAATGTGGGCAGTGGTGTTCGGAGGCAGGAAATGAAGAGTCACATTCCTCAACACAACATCACCTTGACTATGGCTGGCAGCATTGTCCACAAGTAGAATAACATTTCTTCCTGCCACTCGCATCTGTCGGTCGAAGTCTCTCAGCCACTCTTGGAACAGCTCTGACGTCATCCAGGCCTTTGTGTTGTGTCTGTACCGCACATAAGTCTCTGGGTTGTAGGTCTTCCCGAAACACCGTGGACAATTCACTTTTGTAATCACAAATGCCCTGATCTTTGTGGATCCTGTAGCATTGGTAGCAAGGGCAACTGTAATCCTGTCTTTAGATTTCTTGGTACCACTCACAGTCTTTGTTGCTAAAGTGTAGTTTGGTCCAAGTCTGTAGAAGAGTCCAGTTTCGTCCAGGTTGAATATGTCCTCTGGGTCGTAGTCTTGAAGCACATGCTGGAGATCTTCTCGTCCTGTCTGCACAGCTGTCATGTCGGCACTATCGGCTTCACCTTGGTAGAGTTTTCGCTTGATACCACGGCGACCCTTGAATCTGTGAAGATAACCTCTTGAATAACTGAAATCTGTCACACCAAGCTGTTCACCTAGTTGTCTGGCTTTTGTAAGCAACATATCATCGTTGATTGCCGCGTGATGTGCTGACATGTCCGTGAACCACAGATAGAGGGCGTCATCTAGTTGCTGATGCTTTGGGTTCCTGGACTTGGTTAGGCCTTCAGAATCAGCTTGAGTAGCTAGCCACTTGTCTTTTTCTTTAATGACGTCACCAATGGTGGACTTTCCTGAAAAAAAGTAAAATTATTAGCAAATTCATATGAATCATAACATCTCTTAAATCAACAATTTAAAATATGAAATTTTTAGTCTGTGATTTCTTTCCATACCTCTTTATTAAGGTCAGCCTATGGCTTCGCGAAAACTGCAATTAATTAAGTCAAAATTAAATTAGAAAATAAATTTAAAAATTTAGAAATTTATTAAAAAAAAAAATTTAAATGACATAGAAATGACAAAGAAATTGAGTCTTTAATAATACCTATGGTGATGTTCTCCTCGTCAATAACAAACTGCCTTAAATCTTGCAAAGAAGAACGTGGAAGATCTACTTTGCGTTGACAGATTTTTTTCTTTAAGCTGGCGGAAATGCCGACTCGTGCTCTCTTTGCCGGCGGTGTAGACATAGTTGAAGCTGGAGAGCAGAATGACCAACATTGGATATAACGCTGCTTATATGGGCAGATTTTTAATTACCCAGCTTATTTTTACTTTCTTCTTCCTATAAATTGCTGAACATAGCCAAGCGAATTCCCTCATTTGCAGCTTTGATTACACCCAAGCGAGCTCTCAGTATCGAGTCTAATTTTAATTTGAACACTCATCCACGCTTAATCTGACATATTAAAAATTCACTCAGTAATCATCCCAAGCGAAATAATTGATTGTCTAAAATTATTCAAATTTGATTGAATGTTTTAGTTTGGGTTTTTTTTTTCGATGATAACTCCCACCAATCTACAGATGAAAATTACACAATACCGATTTGTGTTTGCACATGTGTAGACAACGAGATTATGAAACTATGTCAACCCGCCTATAAATAGAAAAATATCTAAAACCAGCTCTGTACTAAAATTATAAATATCTCGCAGATACCAAATAATTGAAAAGAAAATTGTTTTCTGTTACCGACACAGTTAATTTGTTTATTTTTATTTGTGTATCGATCTCTCGTATATTACCATAACCACTTAGCTTAATCTGTGGACTAATCATCGTAAGTCATTCATAACAGGTCACAGTTGATCGTCTTGTAAAAACAGTCAATCCGGACAGTGTTTTGATAACAATTATCACTCAGTTCAGGCGTGAAAGTTGACAAGAGTGGAAGTACAAATTAAAAATTTACCGTCCGGATAAATGAACCAAATTATAACGTAAAAATACATTTTGTAGTAAAAAAGAGCCGTCCGGATACGGAACGCGGAATTATGGATAAATGAGTCAAAATTACGTTAAAAAATCCGTTCCCGAGAAAAATCGTCCGGAAGGTGAAGCGTCCGGATACCTGGCGTCCGGATATGTGAAGGTCCACTGTATTTAAGATTTTCCGTTTTTATTAACTTTCAAATGAAAACGAAAATATACTTTTGGCAAAAGAGGACTATTTTTTCAACCCCTTTTAACCCAAACTTAATCGCAAATGATACTGTATATTTTATATTTTGAAATTTCATTTTTATAATGCGTGAAAGTTAGTGCAAGATTTGTACATTAATTAATACGCCAACTTCACGCTACCTTTATTTATTATTACGTCACAATGACCTTATGCTTTTGACGTTACCAGGTATCCTATCTGACATTTGTATAACTGCCTGAAGAGCCGAACATGGCGGAAACTTGCGGTAAATGTTTTGTGATATTTTTGGATTTTTACCTTTAATATACCAAAAAAAAAAAAACTGTACGGATTCTTCAGAATCTAATAATGGATTGATTTTCTTACATCACATTCGAGAATATTTTACTCAAATAAAGACATCACCATATACCGGTTAAGGGCTTCAAATTTTGACTTTTACTCGGCACTGAGGCAGTGAGGAATCTTTATCGTATCAGCGCCTACTGTGACACAGGGCCTAGGGCTTGAAGGTCTCATGTGCCGAACGAATGGTTAAGGAACATTTGCTACCAATGTTTTATCGACTAAGGTCAGTTGCGGCCAAAATTTGAACTCACGAACTCCCGATCACGAAGCGAGCGCAATACCGACTGAGCTACCGTGAAGAGTAAAAATATGTAAACCCAGTAAACTAAACACCTGAACTACAATTGTCATTACACTCCACCGAACTTGGTCGTTATTAGGCCATTATCGACCATCTCTCATGCGCTTCCCCTGGCAACTGACAGCTTTCTGCAGAACGCTCTTATATATACCGATAAATACCCGGAATAACTAAGTGCACTAAGATAAAGTCCTTTTTTGTATATTGGAACCTCGGTGAAGAAGGATATAGAGATAACGAACAGTATTCAATCTCAAAGTCCATTAAACAATATACAAAATAAGAGCAGAGCAAACAGGGACCTCTGAAACATCAGAGGTCGGATCAGATGCAATGGAGGAGTAAGCATCCCTAGCTGACCGGTCACACCTGCCGTGTGCTCGTTGTCATGATCGGAAAATAACGGAAAAAAATTCGTCGACAATTCAATGTATAAACATTGGACTAACAATTGGTATGAAAAACGTCAGTCAGCATTTGACTCATGAAAAATTGTATTTGCTGACAAGGTCATTGTATCGACCATAGAATTTACCGATACGAAATGATGACTTTAATCCAGACTGCTGATATTCTTGTTTCATCAACTTGCTAGTCAATAATTTACCTCGTTTCAGAAATTGTTAATACGTAGAACATACTCTTGCGTATCGAATAAACTGAGATATATATACTCCGTATGCAGGTGATGCATGTATTTTGCTGCATAAGTAAGGGATAATGACGAAAGAAAAGTTAAAGTCATCACGTTTATATAGCTTGGTTGTTAGATTACAGTTAGTGGGGTTTTCAAATAAAATATCCAAGTATGAAGCAGAAGTGTCGGACTCTGTTGTATCTTTTATCTCAAGCTCACCAGGATATATCGTATCGACGTAGGAATGGAAATTATCATTATTAATTGACAATACGTCGTCGATATATTTAAATGTCGAGTTGAAGGTCACAGCAAGTGTTTTCTTCTTTTCACGCATAAGATTTTGCATAAATTCTGCTTCATTTGAATATAAAAAATAAGTCTGCTAATAACGGAGCGCAATTTGTACCCATGGGAATTCCAATAGATTGTTGGAATACCTGGTCTCCTAAAACCACATAGATATTGTCAATCAGAAACTCAAGCATCTTCTTGATGTCACATTCAGAGTACTTACGAGGGTTGTCCGTAAACTTCGTGGACAACATTGATAATCACTGACAAACATTGATAAAATATTCGAAACTATTATTTTCATTAAATTCATGTTTCAAGTTATTAACATGCAAGTTTTCAAGAACTACAAAGCACAAATAATTATATTTTTATCAGATTAAAAAAGACAAAGACTCATACCCGGAGCACTAAACTGAAAATTCTTGACGTTACCTGACGTCAAAAGCATAAGCACATGTAACTTTTCTCAATTTTATCACCGTTTTATTCCGTTTTATTCAATACATTTCTTATGTCGCTTTAACCAGTCATAAATATGTGCACAAAATGTTCAGGTTTCATATGTAAAATAATATTTGATAATGCGTGTCTCATATCCTGCAATCCTCTAACCTCTCTCTGCGTAAAAACGATTTTATTATTAAAATAAGGTAAAGTCGCGTTACGAAGTTCATTTTCTACAGCACTGAAATCTCAGAATAATGGATTTCCTTCACGCATGTCATCCTGTAAACTGTTCCTTCAGTCCGAAAATATTATATATCACTTAAATACTAATATACGGCCCCTTTTACTAAGTTTTCCCGGTTGTTTACAAAATGTATTGGTCTTTGTATGTATTTATACGATGTCTACGCAGAATTTTATCACTGCTCACTGCTCCACCTATTCCTAAAACGTCCCTTTTTTGAACAATTCCGATCCGTCTTAACATGTTCTAACTTTGATGGCTCAGCCATTTTACCACTTAGAATGTTCAAATTTAGCAGGTTTGAAGTGATAACTTTTGTCAACCTCATAATGTAAAAGTCATCCAAATTTCTACATTATTTTATAAAATACAAATGATATTTATAAAGTGATAAATGATTTTTTAATTAAAATTTTGCGGTGCTCTGGGTCTCCAGACTAAGTCTTATTATGAAGTCATAATTTTGATTAAACATTTGAAATTGAATCAGATTTTACATTTCTCAGTTCACATTTAGTAAAGTATTAAAAATATGCTAATAATTGTAGTGTATTGATATTATGTTACAGTGTTAAGGGAAGTAACTCTATTTTGTATTGTGTCACTTGTGTGTAAGAGTTTGTGTGCTAGAGTTATGGTTCGTAGTGTGGGTCAGGTGTCAGTGTGTATCCGGCATGAGTAGTACGTACATGGACTGTCAGAGTGGAAGTATGTGGTTATGTACCTGTATACATGAATAAAGTATAAAACGTGATTCAATTCGAGTAATTCTTCACTGGCAACGAGGAAAACGAAAGCTACAAGATGGCTACACTAATAGAACTCAACGGAGTTGGAAAGTTTAATCCAAATGCTGAACCTTCACAAATAAATCAAGCATGGAAAAGGTGGCACCGAAGTTTTGAGCTTTTCGCTGTTGGGAAAGGGGTGAGTGACGCTGAACAAAAAAAGCATTACTTTTGCACTGTGCTGGACCGGAAGTTTAAGACATTTTTTATACATTGAATGTTGAACAAGCAGGTGAAAATGACAATGTGTATACGTTAGCTGTGAAAACCTTAGATAAACACTTCGAGAACAAAGTCAACGTTCCGTATGAACGATATGTTTTTAGGAAAATTCTGCAAACTGAGACTGAAACAGTAGAACAGTTTATCACAAAATTACGGCAACAGGCTGTGTATTGTGACTTCACAAATCAAGATGAGCAAATTCGGGATCAAGTGATTGAAAAGTGCAGGTCTCACAAGATAAGAGCCAAGTTGTTAGAGAAAGGAAAAGACTTAACTTTAGAGCAATTGAGGACAATAGCAGCTACATTTGAAATGACTGAAACACAGGCTAGGCATATGGACACTGAAATTGTGGCGTTAGTAAACAGAATTCAGGGACATCGTGAAAAAACTGACAAACAGAAACACAGATTTCAGGACAAGAAGTGTTTTCGTTGTGGACGAGAGGGGCATTTTGCAAAGGACGTATCGTGTCCTGCTCGGAATAAGGAATGTCGGAAGTGCGGAAAAGTTGGACATTTTATTAAATGTTGTTTAACAAAGAAACCAGGAAAAGGCAAACCAACCAAAGGTGGGAAAATTAACAAAGTGGATTATTCTGAAGTGGATTCCGACTCAGAAGTATACGTGTTCAGTTTGAAAACAGGACATACATCATCAGACAAAGTAAAAGTCAGTCTAGGAGGAAATCCTGTAGAATTTGTCATTGATAGTGGTGCATCAGCTAACATTATTGATAAAGAACTCTGGGAAT